TAAGATACACGTTGATGGTTTAGAAGAGAGAATCATTCAATTTAATTGTTCAAGGTTTATGGCTGAAAAGCCTTCTAGTTTACCATCTAGTGTAATATTAGAACTTACGTTTCCGGGAGCTGTTGATAACACTATACTGGTCGAAGGCAAGAGTTCATTAATTTTGTTTCTAAGAGTAACATATATGATCAATTTGGGGTGGTGTACATTTTGTATAAGTTTCCTCCCTTACATGCAGACATGCTATCGAGTTAAGTATTGGTGGAATCTCTTCCTTAAATTTGGCTATAGCACTAACAGATAGGTTTCTGCTGCAGGAGCTTTTGACTAATGCTTTGTAGTCTAGTAACAGTACTTCAAAAGTTACTAAGAAATGGTCGGATAAAGCAGGATTATGCGGTTCGACTAATAGTTGCACAATTTCAATACCATAAGTCAGAACAAGGTCGAGAGTGTGATTATAGCAGTGGGTTGGTTTATTTACACTCTGACGAAAACCAACAGAATCTAATATAGAGTTAAATGCAACAGTAAGGCTATTTTTATCATCGTCAACATGAATATTAAAGTCACCTACGATAATTACTTTATCTGTTTTAAGCACCAAAGTTGATAAAAACTCAGAGAATTCTGATAATAATTCTGAATAAGGACCTGGTGTGAAATTATGACATGCATTACATTACATTACATTACATTACATTACATTACATTGCATTTAGCTGACGCTTTTATCCAAAGCGACTTACAATAAGTACATTCGACCAGGAAGACACAACCTTGAAGAAAACAGAATCATATAAGTACATCAGGTTTCATAGAGCCAAACATTTCAAGTGCTACTCAACTGGCTTTAGGTAAGCCAGTCCTTTATTAGTATAAAAGTGCTTCGTTAATAGTTCTAACGCTCGAAGTGGAGTCGAAAGAGATGAGTTTTCAGTTTGCGCCGGAAGATGTGCAAGCTATCTGCCGTCCTGATGTCAATGGGGAGCTCATTCCACCATCTTGGAGCCAGGACAGCAAACCCACGTGTTTTCGCCGATGGGAACTTGGGTCCCCCTCGCAGCGAGGGTGCAGCGAGTCGTTTGGCTGATGCAGAGCGTAGTGCACGCGCTGGGGTGTACGGTTTAACCATGTCCTGGATGTAGGAAGGGCCAGATCCATTCGCAGCATGGTAAGCAAGTACCAGTGTCTTGAAGTGGATTCTAGCAGTTACCGGAAGCCAGTGAAGGGAGCGGAGGAGTGGAGTGGTGTGGGAGAATTTAGGAAGGTTGAAGACCAGACGGGCCGCTGCATTCTGGATGAGCTCCAGAGGTCGGATGGCACATGCAGGTAGACCAGCCAGGAGGGAGTTGCAGTAGTCTAGGCGTGAGATGACGAGAGCCTGGACCAGAACCTGAGTCGCTTTCTGAGTCAGCTGGGGACGTATATACCTGATGTTGTAAAGACATACATCTCATCATTGATCAGATTGGGGAGGGGACCAGAGAAGATTAGGGTGTCCGACATTGTTTTAGCATAACTACACTCTTCTACATTCAACTCACAGGTTTATCATTGCTTTGAGAAAAAAGATTATTAATGTATCTCTTTTAGAAGTGAAGATATAGTCATTTGTTCTGGGAATATCATTTTTGAGCCTGAGACCTGAAAAACAGGCTTGGGGCTTAACAGGCTAACTGTGTTCCTGTTCTTGCTTCAGGTCCTAACTGTGTTCCGGTTCTTGCTTCAGGTCCTAACTGTGTTCCGGTTCTTGCTTCAGGTCCTTACTGTGTTCCTGTTCTTGCTTCAAGTCCTAACTATGTTCCTGTTCTTGCTTCAGGTCCTAACTGTGTTCCGGTTCTTGCTTCAGGTCCTTACTGTGTTCCTGTTCTTGCTTCAAGTCCTAACTGTGTTCCTGTTCTTGCTTCAGGTCCTTACTGTGTTCCTGTTCTTGCTTCAGGTCCTAACTGTGTTCCGGTTCTTGCTTCAGGTCCTTACTGTGTTCCTGTTCTTGCTTCAAGTCGTAACTGTGTTCCTGTTCTTGCTTCAGGTCCTAACTGTGTTTCTGTTCTTGCTTCAGGTCCTTACTGTGTTCCTGTTCTTGCTTCAGGTCCTTACTGTGTTCCTGTTCTTGCTTCAAGTCGTAACTGTGTTCCTGTTCTTGCTTCAGGTCCTAACTGTGTTCCTGTTCTTGCTTCAGGTCCTTACTGTGTTCCTGTTCTTGCTTCAGGTCCTAACTGTGTTCCGATTCTTGCTTCAGGTCCTAACTGTGTTCCTGTTCTTGCTTCAGGTCCTTACTGTGTTCCTGTTCTTGCTTCAGGTCCTAACTGTGTTCTGGTTCTTGCTTCAGGTCTTAACTGTGTTGACAGTATCATCTCCTTTTTCTCTCGCCTGGTCATTTTATATTTGTGTTACTTCCCTTTGGTTACCCTAGCCCAGTAGGGAACGTAACCAATGGGGATAAATAACTTAATTCCTGGGGTTATAAGTGGTTTTAAAATAGCAATTTTAGCTGAGTATGGCACTTTTCGAATTTGAGACTTTTTTAGGCTGTCTTTCTTATGAGCAGCTAGACCGGTGTCTTAAGGAACATTTGTATGAGATAGCACAACATTTCAGTCTCACAGTGGCAAAACAGTTATTAAAAAAAGAATTAAAGGCTTTGTAGGTGGATGAGTTGGTGGAAAGTGGTATTCTGGTTCTGCCTGTACAAGCTGAGTTCGCTGCATTCAATGTCCTGTCTGAAGCTGGGAGACAACAGAAGTCTGAGGCGGAGCCTTCAGATGCTCAGGTAGAGGGTGGTGACGGTGAGGGCGGCGGGCAGTGTGAAGCACCGTCCACGTGGCCTCGCTACAATCCACCGTCTCCTGGCAGCCCAGACTCCCGGGAAGGGAGTAAACTTAAGGTCCGTCTCGCACGTCTCCAGTTGGAGGCGGCGGATAAGGAGAGGCAGACACAGTTCCAGCTAGAGGTGCATAGGTTGGACATTGAGGCAGACAAGGAAGTCAGGATGCGTCAGCTGGAGCTAGACTCACAACTGCGTGCATCCGGTGCTTTTGATTATGCCGGAAGAAACTTGCCATCTCCCTCTCATCCACCTGCCTTTGACATAAGTAGAAACATTACGCTTGTGCCAACCTTCCATGAGACTGAGGTGGATGCCTATTTTGGTGCCTTCGAGCGCATAGCTACAGCGTTGCGGTGGCCGGCTGAAGTTTGGGCTCTGTTGCTACAGTGTAAACTATATGGAAAAGCTCAGGAAGCAGTTGCGGCTCTTTCGTTAGAGGACAGCCTACAGTATGACTCAGTGAAGGTTGCCATTCTCAGGGTGTATGAATTAGTTCCTGAAGCGTACAGACAGAAGTTTAGACATCATAGGAAGGGTCCTAACCAAACACACGTGGAGTTCGCTAGAGAAAAGGGAATGTTGTTTACCATGTGGGTTACGTCATGTAAAGCGGAGGATGATTCTTCTCTGAGGGAATTGATCATGCTGGAGGAGTTCAAGAGATGTTTGCCTGATCGCATTGTGGTATACCTAAATGAGCCAAAAGTAAATTCCCTCTCTGCTGCTGTTGTGTTAGCCGATGAATATGTGCTGACGCATAAATCCGTGTTTTCCCCTGTCTTTACTGAGAGGTCACGCCGTGTATCCGCCGCACCATTTACTGAGCCGTTAAATATGTATAAAGTAACAAGAGAGGAGAAAGAGTGCTTTTACTGTCACCAACCTGGACATATCATCGCCAACTGTGTAGCTCTGAAGCGTAAAGAACAGCGGCAGAATATGTCCCAGCCAAAAGGCATTGGCCTGATTACACACACACACACGCGCACAGGCGTGTAAAAGTGACTCTGATGTCTCATTGTCTGATCCTGTGTTTGTGCCGGTGCTTTCAGATGAAGCTGTGTCCGAGAAGAAGCCAGAAATGGTGGCTTCCTCTCCTCATGAGGATATCGTGAGACTAGCGCAACACGCCGGCTCAGACACGCCTCCCGACAGACCGACTCTCCCGGTAATTTGAGAGTGTCTACTAGGTTATCAGCTAGTCCTCTTCGTTATGTTGTTAGCTTTACGTTATTTTGAGATTTGTGTGGGATCTAGCTTTTGGCCAATTGTCATGTGTAATTGTTACGATCCCTTCACATTCTGCTCTAGCGTTTACAAGCACAATCAGCGTTTCATGCGATGGGCTCTGATCGTGCGGGACTACACCATAAGACATCCGTCTTAAACAGGGCTCAGAGAATGTGTTGGCAGATGCTTTGTCCAGGTTGGTTTAGTGATGTTCGTGTGTGTTATTAGATAGGGTCATTAGTGTGTTTAGTTTCACAAAACCTGTGGGTTTGTGTCTTAAGGGGGAGGGTTACGGCTGCCGCCTTCCTGGTCGTCTTAACTGTATTAACTCTGTTCTGTGTCTATGTAAATGAGCTGTGCGGTTGCTCCGACGTCATTGGCTGCCATCTCCTGGTCCGCCCCCCCCGAAGATTGTGAATGGAGCACGCCGGGCCCGACGCACTCCAATCGCAGCGCACAGACGGCGCACACCTGCTAGAGATTACTTTAAAGCCTGTGACCGACGATCACTCTGCGGGCTCTGTTATGGGAACAGACGCCTCTTGCTACGTGCTCTTCGTTTGTGTGTTAACAGTGGTTAACTCCTGTGGTATTAGATTTGTCTTAGCATCACTTTCACTGTTGTTCTGTAGTGTCGCTGAGTTTGCTTACAGCTCCTTTGTTAGTTGTATCACTGTGATAGTGAGGGTTATTTTGTTTATTGTGTATATTCCTTTGTAGTTGATTAGGCTCCCTTGTTTAGAGTCCTCCTTCTGTTTGCTCCTCAGTTAAACCTACGCCCTTTTGGCCCCATTGTTTGTTCCCGGCTGTGTGCCTACCGTTTTGTTTAACCTATATATAACACAACTTATTATAATTATTACTCTTTCCATACTGGTGTTTGTTACTTTCCTCTTCCCCTAGTTAGGACTTAACAACTGTGTTCCTGTTCTTGCTTCAGGTCCTGAATCTGTTCCTGGCCTTGTTGCTGAGCTCTTTCAGCGGGGATAATCTGGCGGCCCCAGAGGAGGAAGGAGAAAACAATTTGCAGATCTCCATAAACCGGATAAACAGGGCTGTGTCCTGGCTGAAGATGTGGGCCTTGGAACAGATCTTTACTTTAATGGGAAAGAAGAACCACGTGAGCCCAGACCTCAGTGGTGAGGGTGTCTCTTTGTTTAAATGTGTGTCATGAGTCTGGATCCAAGATGAGGTCCTGATACTGTGTTATTGTGATCTCTCTGTTAGTGAAGGATGAAGAGGAGGACCAGCAGACCAAGGACTCCTTGGATCTGACATTCATCAACTCTGAACCCCTCGGCTGTAACCGTGGCAACCTGACCAGCAACTACCACAGCCTTCCGTTGCTAAGGGTCCCCATCGCCAAGGCCGAGTCAGACCTCGAGTCGTGGGACAACGACGACGAAGAGGACGACGAAGAGGATGACGAAGAGGACGACGAAGAGGGCTCCCAGGTAATTGTTACTCACCGGTACCGTTTCAGGCCTTCATCTGCATGTATATATATATATATATATATATATATATATATATATATACATATATGTACTATATACATATATGTATATATATGTAGTGTATACATATATATACACTACCAGTCAAAAGTTTGGACACACCTTCTCATTTTAAGTTTGTTATTTATTTAAATGTTTTCTTCTTTGTAGATTAATACTGAAGACACCAAAACTATGAAAGAACACATATGGAATTATCTAGCTAACAAAAAAGTGTTGAAAAAATCCAGAATATGATTTTTACTTTAGATTCTTCAAAACAGCCCCTGTTGCCTTGATAATAATAATAATACATTTAATGTATATAGCGCTTCTCATCTGCCAAGACAAATCTCGAAGTGCTTCACAACAAAGGATACTAATACACTTTGCTAGATTAAACAAATAATTGTAATAATCATAAGAAATCAAAAAATAAAATATAAAATAAAGTACAAAAATAAAAGTCGGTGATAGCGATAAAAATGGCAGTACTCCAGGTGTACCATGCTCAAAGTTTATTGGAAGGCCTGCCGAAAGAAGAGGGTCTTAAGGCCGGTTTTGAAGAACTCGGTGGAAGGGGCAGATCTCAGCTGATCTGGGAGGGAGTTCCAGAGGCGCGGGGCGAGTGAGCAGAAGGCTCGGTCTCCTATTGTTCGGAGACGTGTGCGGGGGATGTAAAGAAGAGAAGCGTGGCTGGAGCGGAGAGAGCGGGTAGATGTCTGGGTATGGATGAGGTCACAGAGGTATTTTGGGCTTTGTCCATTCAGGGCTTTGTACGTGAGGAGCAGAACCTTAAACTGGTTCCTGTAGTGGACCGGGAGCCAGTGTAGTTTTGCAAGTATGGGGGTTATGTGTGCGGACCTTTTTGTACCGGTGAGAACTCTGGCTGTGCTGTTCTGGACAAGTTGCAAGCGGTTGATGGATTTGGCTGGGAGACCGGAGAGGATTGCATTGCAATAGTCTAGTCCTGAGAAGACGAGTGCATGAACCAGTTTTTTGATGTCATCAGTTGAGAGAGAGGGCTTCAGTCGGGAAATGTTTTTCAGGTGAAAGAAGGAGGTCTTGGTGATATGTTTGATGTGGGCTTGGAAAGACAGAGTGGGGTCAAACCTTACACCGAGGTTGGTGACAACGGAGGAGAGAGGAATGAGCTGACCATCAAGGGAGGGGCTGATGTTGGCGGCCTTGGCAAGCTGGTCGGTGGTGCCTATCAGGATTGCCTCCGTCTTGCTGCTGTTGAGCTGAAGGTAGTTGGTGGTCATCCAGGAGCGGATGTCTTCCAGGCAGGTGTTTAGTGTTTGGATAGTGGTGGTATTGGGTTTGTTTTGATGTAGACCTGAGTGTCGTCGGCATAGCAGTGGAAGTTGATGTTATGTTGTCTGATGATATGACCCAGAGGTAATAGATAGATTAAAAACAGGATCGGCCCCAGCACTGAGCCCTGTGGGACCCCGCATGTCACTGCGGTGTCGTCAGACCTGGAACCCCCCAGAGACACGTGGTACTTCCGGTTGGTGAGGTAGCTTGAGAACCACTTCAGAGCCGTGTCCGTCACCCTGGTGTAGGTCTCGAGGCGGTGGAGGAGGATGGTATGGTCCACTGTGTCGAAAGCCGCACTCAGGTCAAGAAGGACCAGGATGCTGGGTGACCCAGAGTCGGCTGCCATCAGTAGGTCGTTGGCTACTTTTATTCGGGCTGTTTCTGTACTGTGTGCAGGGCGGAAACCTGATTGGAAGGTCTCATACATGTCATTGTCAGACAGTTGATGACAGTTTGCTCACTCTGGGCTTCTCTCAGTCAGCTTCATGAGGTCGTCACCTGGAATGGTTTTCTATTAACACGTGGGCCTCGTCAAGAGTCAATGTGTGGAATGACTTCCTTCTGAATGTGTTTGAGAGCATCAGTTGTGTTGTGCAGATGTAGGGTTAGTGCACAGTGGAAAGCCCTATTTGACTGCTGCTGTAATCCGTATTATAGCAAGAACCACTCAACTCGAATAATACATCAGAGTTACCTCTACTCAGAGGATCGATACATCAGAGTTACCAGCCTCAGAAACCACAAATTAAAGCACCTCAGATAAGAGCCGACATAAATGATCACTAGGGATGGGTACCGAGCCCCGGTATTAAAGGGAACCCGGGGCTGATTTATTAAAGACCGTGGCACCGTTAAGCTCCGACATTATCGGTATTTTCATCGATACTCAAGACATTTAAAAAATATATCATGTATTATCCTACACAAACATTATATTGCCGTTTTAGTGTCATCAATTTTGTTTCTAATGCTCAAAAAGACAAATGTGTCTCTGATGTATTTTCGATCTTTCCAATCCAGACGAGAGATCTTTCTCCCCCGTCTGTGTGCGAGGGGGCGGGGCAATTCACAATTTGTTTAGTTAATTTTCCTTTTTCAAAAGAACCGATACAAGTACCGTTAAAGGACCGGATCGATAATCGGTATCGATACAAGTAGTAGTACGGTTTAAACCTTAACGATACCCATCCCTAATGATCACAGAGCTCAAGTAGCAGACAGATCTCAGCATCCACTGTTCAGAGGAGACTGTGTGAATCAGGCCTTCATGTTCCTGCAAAGATCCACTGCTGAGGATGAACATCAAGTAGAAGATAATTGTTTAGGCCCAGAAACACAAGGACTGGACATTAGAAAGTGGAAATCTGTACTTTGGTCTGATGAGTCCACATTTTTTATTTTTGGTTCCAACCTCCGTGTCTTTGTGAGATGCAGAGAAGGTGAGTGGATGGTTTCTGCATGTGTGGTCCCACTGTGAAGCATGGAGGAGGAGATGTGATGGGGGGCTTTGCTGGTGACACTGTTGGTGATTTATATGTGTATATATAAATAAAGAACTGATGTGTTTGCAGGGTGACGAGTCGTCGGTGTGCAGCACAGTGCAGAGACTCCCTGATGTTCAGGAGGAAGAGGAGGAAGAAGAGCATGATGAAAACACACCTGAGGACTGCTTCACTGACAGTACACACACACACACACACACACACACACACACACACACACACATACAGACACATACACACACTCACACACACACACACACACACACACACACACACACACACACACTCACTTGTGTAACCGTTATATTTATTCAGAAATGATCAGGAAGGTAAATGGGGTTCTGAAAGAGGAAGCGGGGACCTGATGATGTTCATGTGTTTCAGAGTGTTATGGCCACTGTCCGTTCCTGGACATAGATACATCCGCGGGTCGAGGGAGGGTCTGGGCTGACGTCAGGAGAACCTGCTTCTTCATCGTGGAGCACAACTACTTCGAGACGTTCATCATCTTCATGATCCTGATGAGCAGTGGAGCTCTGGTGAGGATTATTAGATATCCTTATAAAATATTTTAGATTTATATACATTATATGCATGATTGCACATAGTTAGATAGTACATTATTGAATATTCTTAGATCAATTATACATGATTATATAACTGATTGTAAGTTATTATACATTATTATCATATATATTCATGCATCACGTCTTTTACCTTCAGCGTTGATGAAGGTCTGATTTGCATTTTGTTGTTTTTATTTTTATTTTGGGAAGCATGTTTGAAATGTTTTTTTAAACTCTGCTGCCTCGATGCTGATTGGTCTGTCTGATCTGATCCATGACTGAGCAGGTCAGATCTGATTGCTTCTAAGGAGTGCGTACAGTGTGAATACTAACCTGTGGAGACAAGATGGCCGTCAGTGACCTCAGAGCTACTAACATGGCTAACAGTGGACTACAAACATGGCTTACAGTGGACTACATACATGGCTGATATTCTGATTACTAACATGGCTGCCTCATGTCACTCAGGTGAGATCTTTACAGAGTCCTAATGAAATGCACATTTCTGATACTTACATGTTTAGTTCATCAGGATAATCTCCACATTTTAACACCACTTTATGATTTCTGAAGTAAGAAGCTAACATTATATAAAGGAACTACAGCACGGTCACATGACTTCACGTCACCACTGCTAAGCTAAAGGCGGCTAATGTTGGGCTATAAAGGAACTAAAGCACGGTCACATGACTTCACGTCACCACCGCTAAGCTAAAGGAGGCTAAAGTTGGGCTATAAAGGAACTACAGCACGGTCACATGACTTCACGTCACCACCGCTAAGCTAAAGGAGGCTAAAGTTGGGCTATAAAGGAACTACAGCACGGTCACATGACTTCACGTCACCACCGCTAAGCTAAAGGAGGCTAATGTTGGGCTATAAAGGAACTAAAGCACGGTCACATGACTTCACGTCACCACCGCTAAGCTAAAGGAGGCTAATGTTGGGCTATAAAGGAACTACAGCACGGTCACATGACTTCACGTCACCACTGCTAAGCTAAAGGAGGCTAATGTTGGGCTATATAGGAACTACAGCACGGTCACATGACTTCACGTCACCATTGCTAAGCTAAAGGAGGCTAATGTTGGGCTATAAAGGAACTACAGCACGGTCACATGACTTCATGTCACCACCGCTAAGCTAAAGGAGGCTAAAGTTGGGCTATAAAGGAACTACAGTACGGTCACATGACTTCACGTCACCCCCGCTAAGCAAAAGGAGGCTAATATTGGGCTATAAAGGAGCTACAGTACGGTCACATGACTTCACGTCACTAATGTTGGGCGTGATGACGTTTAGTCGGCTCATTTAGACACCTGTTATCAACCTCTGTTTTTAAACCCACTGACGTAATTTATGTGGTAGAATAAAACGTTTAAAGATCTTCAGCTTCTGTTGACCACAGACCTTATTTGAGGATAATAACCAAAAACACATTCAGAGAACCAATGACCTCCAGACCAGGGGACACGAAGTGATGACTCATGTTCAGGTTTTAGATCTCATAATGCTGACTCATGTCCAGGGTCTCCTTCCTGCACCTCTATATGGCCAGACTGCTGCATGGGGATGACTGTGTCTCTGTCCAGGCGTTCGAGGACATTTACCTGGAGCAGCGGCAGGTCATCAAGACGGTCCTGGAGTACGCAGACCAGGTCTTCACCTATGTCTTTGTGGTGGAGATGCTCCTCAAGTGGGTCGCCTACGGATTCAAGACCTACTTCACCAATGCCTGGTGCTGGCTGGACTTCCTCATCGTGGACGTAAGGATACCTGTCTGTCTCTCAGCTGTTTCTCTGCTGATGTCCTCACCTGTCTGTCTCTCAGCTGTTTTTCTGCTGATGTCCTCACCTGTCTGTCTCTCAGGTGTCTCTGGTGTCTCTGACCGCCAACATCCTGGGATACTCGGAACTCGGAGCCATAAAGTCTCTGAGGACGCTGAGGGCCCTGAGACCCCTGAGGGCCCTGTCCCGCTTCGAGGGCATGAGGGTGTGAACCTGTCTGTCTGACCCATCTTTCTGACCACCCCCCCATGTCTATATGAACCTGTCTCTCTGACCCGACTCCCCACTTTATCTCTGACCCGTCTCTCTGAACCTGTCTGTCTGACCTGTCTCTATGAACCCATGTCTCTCTGAACATGTCTGTCTGACCTGTCTATATGTCCCCCCAGGTGGTGGTGAACGCTCTGGTCGGGGCAATCCCCTCCATCTTCAACGTGCTGCTCGTGTGTCTGATCTTCTGGCTGATCTTCAGCATCATGGGGGTCAACCTGTTCGCAGGGAAGTTCTATTACTGTTTCAACGAGACGTCTGAGGAGATATTTCTGCCGGAGGATATCAACAACCGCAGCGAGTGTCTGTCTCTGATGGAGGCCGGCAGCCAGGTGCGCTGGAGGAACGTCAAGGTGAACTACGACAACGTGGGGATGGGATACCTGTCGCTGCTGCAGGTGGTGAGTCATCACAGGTGAAATACGAAGTGAGTCATGAAAGGTGAAAAAGGGTGTGAGGATTAGGGTAAGTGAACTCCCAGTGAACACCCAGTGAACCCTCAGTGAATCCCCAGTGAACCCCCAGTGAACCCCTCAGTGAACCCCCCAGTGAACTCCCCAGTGAACTCCCAGTGAACCCTCAGTGAACCTCCCAGTGAACCATCATTGAACCCCCAGTGAATCCCCCAGTGAACTCCCAGTGAACCCTCAGTGAACCCCCAGTGAACCCCCAGTGAACTCCCAGTGAACCATCATTGAACCCCCAGTGAACCCCGAACCCCCCAGGGAATCCCCCAGTGAACCCCCAGTGAAGACCCCAGTAAACCCCTCAGTGAACCCCCAATGAACCCCCAGTGAACTCTCAGTGAACCCCCCAGTGAATCCCCAGTGAACCCCCAGTGAACCCCCCAGTGAACCCTGAGTGAACCCCCCAGTGAAACCTCAGTGAACTCCCAGTGAACTCCCAGTGAACCCTCAGTGAACCCCCCAGTGTGTTTCCTCTCACAGTTGGTTTGATGTTTGGTTTTCAGCTGCTGTTCCTCTCTTCCAGGCCACCTTTAAAGGCTGGATGGACATCATGTATGCAGCGGTGGATTCCAGAGGCGTCAGTACACACACACACACACACACATACACACTAATTTACTATACTAATGTGTGTGTGTGTGGCCTAGCATTACTATACCTGTTGGGACCAAAATCTGTTTACACAGTCACGTGTGGGGACTCGCCTCCCTTATGGGGACAAATTGGAGGTCCCCATGAGGGGAATCATTAATTTTAGGGTGAAGACTTGGTTAGGTTTAGGGTAAGGTTAAGGGTTTGGCATGTGTTGGTTATGGTTAAGGTTAGGATAAGTCTCCAGGAAATGCATGTAAGTCAATGTAATGTCCCCTGAAGTCATGTATACATGGTGTGTGTGTGTGTGTGTGTGTGTGTGTGTGTGTGTGTGTGTGTGTGTGTGTGTGTGTGTGTGTGTGTGTGTGTGTGTGTGTGTGTGTGTGTGTGTGTGTGTGTGTGTGTGTGTGTGTGTGTGTGTGTGTGTGTGTGTGTGTGTGTGTGTGTGTGTGTGTGTGTGTGTGTGTGTGTGTGTGTGTGTGTGTGTGTGTGTGTGTGTGTGTGTGTGTGTGTGTGTGTGTGTGCAGGTAGAGTCCCAGCCGAAGTACGAGGAAAATCTGTACATGTACATTTACTTCGTCATCTTCATAATCTTTGGCTCGTTCTTCACTCTGAACCTCTTCATTGGAGTCATCATCGACAACTTCAACCAGCAGAAATCTAAGATACGTTTCTTAAAAGTATTTATTTATTTTATATATGTTATATTCCCTGTATTTACTCTCTGATAATGTGAGGTCACTGTTGTGTTTCTGGTCTTCACATGGGTGGGACAGACCTTTTCATGACGGAGGAACAGAAGAAGTATTATAATGCGATGAAGAAGTTGGGCTCCAAGAAGCCTCAGAAGCCCGTCCCCCGCCCGGAGGTGAGCTCACTTCCTGTTTTAACCTGTTGAGCCCTGAGCCTTTTTTCAGGTCTCAGGCTTGAAAATGACATTTCCAGAACAAATGACCATATCTTCCCTTCTAAAAGGGGAACATTTATAATCTTTGTTCTCAAAGTAATGATAAACCTGTGAGCTGGATGTAGAAAAGTCAGAATCAATAAAATTGTTTTTTATTTTAAAGAAAATTCAGATTGAACATAGTAAAAAACTGTAAATTATAGTGTCCGTCCAAAAAATATGTTTTACTTAAAGTGAAAACAACCTTGAATGATGGGATGGTAGACTAAAAGCTTCATGAATCCAAAGTACAACATATAATAAGTACCCTGTATCAAGATTGATGCAAAACAAGTGACATTTGAACTTTTTAGAGAGATTTAGCAAAATAAAAACACTTCTGGGGTCATTTGGGTGGATTTGACCTATCTCTGGCCCCCCTTGGTCAATTTTGATGATTGACATCTATTTTTAACCGCTAGAGCCAATGGAAAACCACTCGAAAGTTCCACATACACACACTGGTTACCAAATAAGGAGTGAGAGACACGCGTAGCCAAAACCGGAGCTGCGACACACTGGTGGCTACCATTCCTTGTACAATGTGAGGGTCTAAGGACAGAGGGTCGTATTGTCATACTGATATTCTGTACAAACTGTGAAGTCCACTGAGACTAATTTAACATTTGTGATATTGGGCTATATAAATAAACATTGATTGATTGATTAGCAGCTAATTTGTATTCTCCGATTTTTGCATAAAAAATGGAATTATGGATTATCAATACTTTTTTCAAAGTGACAGACACATTGCTATGACCTATGGATTAACCTTCAGCCACGTTTTCTCTCGTTTTAATGCCATTGAACACGACTTTTGATCAGAATAACAGCTAAGGAGAGCATATCTCCATTTTTTGCTACCTAAAGCTACGTCGTGTGTTGTCTGTATTTGCTTCCCCTGTCGCGAGTTCTGATCGCTCAGTAATGATCCTTATATTTCTAGAATCTGTGGACTCTCAGGATTTGATCTAAGCTTGTTTGTGCAGATCCAATAAGTATATCGATTGGTATACCTAGAGTTCTGTGCTAACGGCGTTAAGATTTTTTCGCACAGGGCTGATTCAGAGGTTAGCCTTGTGCTTTTTTTTGCTAGAAATAAATAAAATATCAGTTAGCTGAGTTTCTTCCCGTTACATGGATATGAAACATTCATAGTTTATTGAATATTAAGAAGCCCTCAGACACTGTTGCTTGCAGATGTTGTGGTTTCGGACCCGCCGAAGGGTCAGTGGGGCTTTAAGGTCGTACTTCCTGTCCCACTGATTTAAAGTTGAACTTCCTGTCCCTTTGTTTCAAGGTTTAACTTCCTGTCCCACTGTTTTAAAGTTGTACTTCCTGTCCCTTTGTTTCAAGGTTGAACTTCCTGTCCCACTGTTTTAAAGTGTACTTCCTGTTTCTGATGCCGCCTGTCTCTCCAGAACAAGTTCCAGGCGCTGGTGTTTGACCTGGTGACCACACAGTTCTTCGACATCTTCATCATGGTGCTGATCTGCCTCAACATGGTGACGATGATGGTGGAGACAGACGAGCAGAGCGAGGAGAAGGAGACCATCCTGTACTGGGTCAACCTGACCTTCATCATCGTCTTCACCGGGGAGTGCAGCCTGAAGGTGGTGGCGCTGCGACATCACTACTTCTCCGTGGGCTGGAACATCTTCGACTTTGTGGTCGTCATACTGTCCATCGTAGGTGAGTGCTGAGGTCCACTGGTGAGGTCATCTGGTGATATAATCCTACAGTCTTGTGTTGTCGCCTTGGTTACGCTTAACTTTTGGGGGTTTATTTCCTGTAAATACTTAATATAAAGTTGTATTTCAGTTTGACTGTTCCTGAACAACAAACCCTTAACACCTTCTGATGCAACTCTCGTCACACCCCCCCCCCCCCCCCCACCCCCCCCACCCCCCCCTGCAGGCCTCCTCCTCGCTGACATCATAGAGAAATATTTTGTTTCGCCCACACTCTTCCGAGTGATCCGATTGGCTCGTATCGGCCGAGTGCTCCGTCTGATTCGTGGAGCCAAAGGGATCCGGACGCTGCTGTTTGCCCTGATGATGTCCCTTCCTGCCCTGTTTAACATCGGCCTCCTCCTCTTCCTCATCATGTTCATCTTCTCCATCTTCGGCATGTCTAACTTCGCCTACGTGAGGAAGGAGGGGATGATCGATGACATGTTTAACTTCGAGACGTTTGGGAACAGCATGATTTGTCTGTTCATGATCACCACCTCTGCCGGCTGGGACGGGCTGCTGATCCCCATCATGAACACGCCCCCCGACTGCGACCCCGACGTGGAGCACCCGGGCTCTCCGGTGAGGGGAGACTGCGGCAGCCCGGGGGTGGGCATCATCTTCTTCACCACCTACATAATCATGTGCTTCCTCGTGGTCGTCAACATGTACATCGCCATCATCCTGGAGAACTTCAACGTGGCCACTGAGGAGAGCTCGGACCCGCTGTGCGAGGACGACTTTGAGATGTTCTACGAGACCTGGGAGAAGTTCGACCCCGACGCCTCGCAGTTCATACAGTACAGGTGAGGAAAGGTCATACAGGTGAGGACAGGTCATACAGAACGGGTGAGGACAGGTCATACAGGTGAGGACAGGTCATACAGAACAGGGGAGGACAGGTCATACAGAACAGGTGAGGACAGGTCATACAGGTGAGGACACGTCATACAGGTGAGGACGGGTAATACAGTACAGGTGAGGACAGGATATACAGGTGAGACTGCCATGTTGAAACTTCCCGATGCTGTTATGGTTAAACCGAGGTAGGTATAACTCATACTATGTTCCATGATATGATTGTTTATGGTAAACTGGTATTTGTTCTCCTGACATCTGGGGCGTTTTTGGAAAACCATGACATTAGTTATCTTCATATTGACTGCCAGGGCCCAGTTCTTACAGTACTGGTCTACTATGTCCAGCTGTTGTTGTAGTCCTTGTTCAGTAGGAGACAGCAGAACAAGGTCATCAGCATAAAGCAGACACTTCACCTCTCTATCTAGGAGGGAGAGGCCAGGAGCAGCACAGTGATCCAACTGAACAGCAACTTCATTTACATTACAATACATTGCATTTAGCTGAGGCTTTTATCCAGAGCGACTTACAATAAGTGCATTCGACCAACAAGACACAAACTTGAAGAAAACAGAATCATGTAAGTACATCAGGTTTCATAGAGCTAAAACATTTCAAGTGCTACTCAACTGGCTTATCTAAAGCCAGTTGAGTAGCACTTGAAATATTTTAGCAGTTTGAATTAAAGCAACTCATCCAAATGCTTTGTCGAAAACAAAAGTTTTTAATCTCGATTTAAAAATATCAACAGTTGCAGCTGACCTGCAGGATTCAGGCAGTTTGTTCCAGATGGTTGGGGCATAACAATGAAATGCTGCTTCTCCTTGTTTAGTTCTGACTCTTGCAGCAGAGAGCAGACCCATCCCAGAAGACCTGAGACTCCTGGATGGTTCATATTTTTGCAAAAGATCGGTAATATAATTTGGTCCTAAACCATTCAGTGCTTTAAAAACCAGCAATAGTACTTTAGAATCAATTATTTGGCAGACTGTAAGCCAGTGTAAAGACTTCAATACTGGACTGATGTGATCCACTCTTTTAGTGTTAGTGAGGACTAGAGCAGCAGCGTTCTGAATCAGCTGCAGCTTTCTAATGGATTTGTTAGTGAGACCTGTGAAGACACCATTACAGTAGTCCAGTCTACTGAAGATAAAAGCATGGACAAGTTTTTTCTAAATCCTGCTGTGACATTAGTCTTTTAATCCTACAGTAGATATGTTTTTCAGGTGATAATATGCAGACTTAACCATGTCCTGGCAACCCAGTCTCACGGCATTTCGTGTTATAGTCACAACATTTAATCTATTGATTCCTGTTCACCAACACGATTTTCTCCTTTTTTTCGTGTCACACAGAACGATTTTAAAAGCAATGTATTTCTATTGGTAGTATGTTTCGTGCCTGCAGCACGTCTTTGTGTCCGTTCGGGTCTTGGAAGACCGGAAGCTGTGGGGTTGATAAAAACATCTCCTTACTCAATATCAAGCCACGATTATTGTTTTTATTTTAAATCGTATAATGTTGGACTTATTTTGTCGTCTGTGAGGAAAATAAATATAAAAAATACTGAAATCTGTATTTTTAAAAATCTTTTTTTCCTTCTAATTTTTTATTCTTTTCTAAATAACACACTGTTATTTACTCAACAATAACACACAATTATCCTTGTTTTTATTTATTTGTCTGATTCCATAATCTCGGGCTTTATCGGCATTTGTTGACAGGAACTGAATTTCAAAATAAAAATAACCAGAAACAGACGTAGGCCTATAAGGGACATTTCGAGCATCATTGCGATACACAGCCACTGAACTGATTACCCAAGATCCTCAGCTATGGTTTAAGCTCGCTTATTGGATTGTTTAGCCGCAATGCACGTTGGGATATGGTGTTTAAACGATATGAAATCCGAAAAATGTTTAAAAAAAATAATACTTTATTCCGAGTGTGCTTGCTTTTGTCTTTGGAAGTCATCACATAACGGCATTGTAATACACGGTTTGGCTGCATTACATATTACATATCTGCCATAGTTATTTACTTATAGAGCCCTGATGAGAAGACCTCTGGAAAAACTGGAAGAAATGCCGCCGAAACTGAAAACGTGACGTTGATCATAAATATATCAGCAATTAAACAACATCTTACATTTCTCTTCACACAATACGTCTCCTTGCAGTATCCACACTAATTTGGCTGACTTTTACATTTGATCTAATTCGTAGGTTATATTTACACCATAACGGTGCACAGCTGATATAAAAGTTTTTTTGTGTAGTTTTTTAGTTTTGTTTTTAAAGATATTACTGATGGTTCACCGTGTTGAATGCAGCAGACAGGTGCAAAAGGATGATGACAGAGGAGAGGGAGGCTGCTTTAGCAGTGTGCAGTTCCTCAATGACAGCAAGGAGGGCAGTTTCTGTGGAGTGACCTGCCTTGAAACCAGACTGGTGCGGATCCAGAAGGTTGTTCTGATTGAGATAACAGGAGAGTTGTTTAAAGACAGCGCGTTCAAGTGTTTTAGACAGGAACGGGAGGAGAGAGACAGGCCTGTAGTTTATAACATCAGACGGGTTGAGAGTGGGTTTCTTTAGGAGAGGGTTTACGGTCAGTGTATGTTTTTGTCATTGGATTTTCTTTTCACAAATGGATATTCAAAAACAAAAAACGACTGGATATTTAATTTTCGTTTTCAAATTGAAAAACCAAAATTGAAATACAAGGCGTTTTTCTTTATCATGGTCAAAAATGGATTTACTAAACTTAAAAAACGGGATAATTTTCATTGTCTACTTCTCAAAACAAAAAATAAAATCACTAGAAAACAGAAACAAAAAAACCCCCCGGTGTTTCATATTCTGCTACCGGAAGTTGTCTTTCAAAATAAGAGCGCAGATGAGGACGGTCAATCCGTGTATCTACGGTCGATTTGTTTTCACAACGAAAACAGCCAAGACACATATTGAGCCCAGAAAATGAATGTTATTAAGGGCTCTAAATATAATAGTTCTATGTCTAAAATAGACAACATTGTTTGGAGATTTCAACTATACAGCGATTCTGCACTGCGGTCAGCTCAGCCGTCTCTCGTTCTTTTTTCTGCCAATAGTTCTTCGTGAGATCGATCCTGTTGGACTCAGTAGGCTAGTAGTGAAACTACTCCCACAACAAGTACTATGAAGTACTTACTGTGTACTTTTTGAGTAATCCTCTGTCAATGTCCCCTCCTGAGAACAAGAATGCATGTTTCTCTGCTATTTTGAATCAGCGTTAACACCTTTCTTCATGAGACTGATATTGTTGGACGGAGTATTTTAAGAGGATATGGTAGACATGACATCAGCAATACTGCCAGTCAGTTGTCCGGCAGCAGCATTTTTACCCCTTGGAAAGTCTCGCCCGCTATTTAAAAATGGACTTTGATAGAAGTTAATAACAATATTGATATTATATAGCATAATTGATGCAGTCTTTCTGAACATTTTTTTAAATAAAATACTGCAAATTAAGAATATTTGTAATGTTCTGCACAGATAGTTAACTTGAATTTGGAAACACGTGGCAACTTTATTAATACAGCAGATGAAAATATTTCTGGAAGGATAAATTCTTCATGGGCTTCAATGGCTCTCTAGATAAAGGGCGTTTTATGGTTGCTTGTATTATCCTCAGATAGTGGTTTGTTTAAATAACTAATGACATTTGAATAAATATTACAAAAAAGGCATATATATATCCTGGCCGGCTTAACCAGTCTGTATTTCTTCAAGCACCACAAGATTCATAGTTTATAAAGTACAATTCTGGGCCTTTGATTGTGTCATTTCTCCAAACACACACAGTAAAAATGCCTGTTTTGAAGCCTTAAAATGGTGCAGGAAAAGGGCTTTACATTGTATTATACTTAAATAAAGGACTATTCAGTTAAGAGAAGAGAAAAAACGAAAGCAAATTGTTATAATGGGTGATGTAACATTAATGACAGACATAATATGAGGTCCTTGGCACTCAGACTTTAGAGGGGTCATTGTGTGATCATGGGGCATATATCATATGGAGTCAGACACTGGAAGTGTGCTGGAGGCGTTGACTGGGACTGATGGAAGGATGAGGCTGATGAGACTGAAGAATCTGCGAGGAACGAACTAGCGGCAGAGGAATAGTTATATATTAAAAGACAGCAGCATCACAAGAGGGCAACCATGTGACACTGGGCCCTTCTCACTTCGGTTACATGGATTCCTTGCGTCCCTCACTTGCGTCCTTTCCCTGTGTCTAGTCCATCCCTCCAGGGAAGCATGGAGAGATGCAAGGAAACCACGAGAAGCAGGGAAATTAGTTTTAAGAGCAATGGGACGTCCTTTCCTCCGGAGCGTCACGTGAAGCGACGTCCGTTTGTGATGAAGACGCACAGCTGATCGTCTGACAGCAGCTCTGTCCCCGTTGTTTCCACACACACCCCCTCCTCTGTTAGCACACATTTACTGACACTAACATTTGTATCATCTGTTGTAGACCCCAATAAATAAAATAAAATAAGAACTCATTCTCAAAAAAGATAAACGCCATTCTTAAAATGTATAAACGAACAATAGTTTGATTAATATTGATTAGAGTGCACAATAGAAATACAATAATGGAGAGAAGAAAGAGAGAGATGTTATCTATCAAAACCCAGTTAGATGAACATTCATTGCACACTTTGTGTGTTTGTGTGGATATGCAGCACATTCACATTTCAATAGCACTTAATGACTGATTGAATGGAAATGACAATAAATGAAAATGTAAAAAAAAAAAGCGATCATGAAAATGTTTCCAATAAATGAATAAAATGATTTTTGCCCACTTTGTTGTTCAGATATTTCACATATTTGTAACTAAATGAAACAGGAATTGAAACAAAACACGGTATAAACTGAGGAGTGAGTCTCGTGAGGTTCATGTGTTTT